ATCACTGACATAAAAATACTGGTATTAACTTCAAATCTAATTTGAATTTTGACGAGCACATCAGTCTAACTGTTAATAAGTGAACTCTCATATATGTCTACTAAAATGAAATTTATTCACATGGATAAGAAGCAGTTTTTGTTATTGTATAAAGGTCTTATTATACCAATAACTGATTATGGAAAGATCATTTATTACCCTGTAACAAAGAAAAATAAACAAATGTTGGAAAATACACAAAGAAGAGCTACACGAATAATCCCTGAACTAAAAGGACTTGCATATGAACAAAGATTCAGGGCATTGAATTTACCAACTCTTGATTATAGAATTCAACGTGGAGATATGATACAAGTATTTAAACTTATCTACAAAATAGACGATTTTGACTGTGAAAAGTTGTTTCAATTATCTGTTACAAATCATAATATCCGAGGATATATTTATAAAATTTGTCCGCAACATATTTCATTTTAATTATCACTATTAAGATCTATATTCATACATGCCGAAGAGAATGAATACGCCACATGAATACGCCGCAGCTTCCGCTGTGGAGGACAACCCCAGACATGTCACCAGTCATACCCTTAAAAAGCTCATTTCGAAGCATATAGTAGGGATTACAATGTATTTACCTCCATTCAATTGTCACGGAGTATATAATACTGACTGAAAACAACAATAATGTTGGTTTTCTGATGGTTTTTAAATGATAAAAATAAAAAAAAATATTTAAAAAAAACATATGACAATAATATTATAAGAACAAAATATATGCCTATTAAATAAACAAAATGCTATGCTGACAAATAATTAGCTTTTTTTTATTACCTCCCTTTACATTTATAATATCAATATTCACACAAACATCTATCTTATGTTCATTATTTGTACAAAACTGATAAGCAATTTCCACGGAGTATTAGCCAAAGATATAATTTTTGAGCCAAAAGTAGGTCACTGTATGCGGTCAATAAGAACCTAAATGTACAGTAACCTGAGACAATAGTGAAAGGTGGTAGCTCTTAAAAGGGCTAAGGGCCTGCCTTACAAGCCGTCATTCGTACTAGGGGCTAATGCACCCTAGTACTCCATGCTCGTCGACTCAGAGCCTACTTTGAAGGACCACTTCCCATCGGATTAAGTCAGGACACCGGCGGTTAACTTCATGCAAGCTTAAACGTTACTCCGAGCTGTAGAAAACATGCGAGCTTGCCGTCTTACACGTAGCATTGGTTCTTCAATCATCTGCCGATGCCCTGTGTCTTCTAAACGACGTTTACGTTCCGAAGGGAAGTGAAAAGTCTTGATAAAGTGCCTTAAAATCATGCATTATTTACAACTTATTATTATTTAGTAAATTTACATATCTTCAGTAACATCAGTTTCAATTAATAAAATTGTCTTATGTTAAAACAATTAAATCATATAAACTTATAAAAGCTCCTCAATTATCATAATTTTAACAGGGGAAAAAAATCTAAGATAAACAAGAAAAATATTACATACATTCGTATGTAATATATGTAAGGTTGCATACTAACTTCTGTGAAGACTTGTTATGATGGCTGCATGAAAAGTGTTATATAAAATGAACAAACATGTCATCAGATATTTTATATTTTAAACGTTTTCATGGAATGTTATATAATATTAAAATTTCATGCCTGGTGAGGAAAGTGACTTCAATAAAAGAACAATGCATGACCAATTTACTGCTTTAAAACATTAACACAAAATTACACATTTTCCACTTTACAGACCATATGAAAATCTTGCAAACCCACAGAAACAGAAATATAAACAATGAAGACCCCTTTTCCCGCGTATTTCTTTGTTTTCTGAACACCGGTTTAATAAAAACATACCTAACACGGACATGATCTTTATTCTTTATTTTTCTTTTTTTATCTTACAGAGCCTTAAAAACCATTCAAATATATTAAAGGTATATAATTTCATCGAAAATCATAGTCACATATTTGAGAAATTATTATTTATTTACAAAAAAACAACATTATTTGTTATCGATTGATCCAATCAAACCCGAAAGATACGGTTTGTAAATATTTATTACAAATAAATATAAAAAAGGTATTTCCTATCCTATGCGACGCGCCCATGTTAGCTACATGTATATTTAAAATTCCCGTATTGCTTGGTGATAATCACGTGATACTGTAACGACAGCCATCTTACGATACGAAAATGCCTAGCCCTCCTCGGACAGTTTCTTCTGCCGAAAATATAGTATAAAATTAATTCTTGCAATTCAAAGTTTGTTTGCTACATAACGATTATTATTTACTAATTGCAAACTTTTTCTCTGCTCGATTATGTTTATGATTTGTAATTTGCTGAAACCATCACGTGATCAATACACATTAAGGTGTGAACTAATTTAATTTTCATTAAAATTATGCCGTTTATCGGACGTATAACAATTGTATGTACAAATAAATTTATAAAACAATCTTAGAAGTATTTAAAATAATTAAATAATGGAAAATAATAAAGGCATATAAATTGTAAATTTGCTTATGACAAATCACCCCTAAACAAAACATAATAGACTCAACCAAAACAAGCGTCTGCTTCTTTACCTAATTATGTAGTTGCAAGATTATGATCAGCAAACCAAATTTAAGAGCAAAAATAATAGTATGACCACAGCAGATTTCGTACAGAAAAAGAAACTATTATAAAATAATAGATTTTGGGAAATAAAGGGAGGTAAATCCATATTGATTGGGAGGAAACATGCTTTGTAATATGTACACTTATATAAGTCAGTGTGACTTTGACGTTGACCTCAGGTTATCCAAAACTGCGCTCTGCACATCATCATAAGTAATATAAATATAAATATTTCTGCCAAATAGATTTAATTTCTTACTATCGTTTTAAAAGAGGAGACACAAGTTTGAAATTGAAACAAATTGACTAAATGTGACCTTGACCTAAGAAAGGTCAAACCTGCGCTCTGCACATCGTGTCATTATGGTTAACATTTCAGCCAAGTAGTTTCAATGTTTTTCACCGGTTAAAAAGATACAGACCGGACATGAAAACTCCTATATAAGTCTAAATAAATCAATCAATCCCCGGGGCGGGGCTAATTTTGATCTTCGGAAGGAACTGTGTTCTGCACACCTTTTTAATATAAGTAATATTTTCTGCCTCGTAGATTCAATTTCCTCCCACCGGTTCAAAAGATACAGATCCGACACGAAAACTGATATATAAATCTATAAGTCTCAATTAACTCCCGGGGCGGGGCCAATTTTGATCGTAGGAAGTCCGAACTTGTGTTATGACGTTTTAAATAATCAAAGGGCTGCAAGCTCTGTGGTATTTTCTGATCTTTGCAATCTAAATCGTACTGTATATCTGAATGTACTTTCCTTTATAAGTTTATTTTTAAATACTATAATTCATCTTGCAGGGCACCGAGATGCTGCGACTGCGTTTAGATTTTTTACTATAACAGTTTGAGTTTGATGCATATGGAATTTTGCATTACTAGAGTTGAATCAAAAAATCGTTTATATTCATTTTTATGACAGCAACACTTTATCCTTGTATATCATGGCTACTTCCTTGGTAGGATGGTGAAAACGGGATGGTACGATGACACGATGATGAAAACACGATGGTACGATGGAGAAAACGCGATGTTACGATGGTGAAAACGCGATGTTACGATGGTGAAAACGTGATGGTACGATGGTGAAAACGCGATGTTACGATGGTGAAAACGCGATGGTACGATGGTGAAAAAGCGATGGTACGATGGTGAAAACGCGATGTAACATCGCGTTTTCACCATCGTATTATCGCGCCATCGCGATTTCATCATCATACCATCGCGTTTTCATCATCGTACCATCGTCTTTTCACCATCGTACCATCGTTCCATCGTGTTCTCACCATCGTACCATCGTGCATCGCTAGTACAGACTAAATAAAATAAAAAAGATTGTCCAAACGGAACAACGTAGTTTATCGATCGTCAACTGCCCTTAATTCGTCCCTGTCCTAGAGTCAACATAACATTTCAGAAAGTCTAAAAAAAAAATGTTCATTTAGGGGGCGTTCCGACCAGATCACAATAATCCGAAGCTTTACGGAAATAGCCGAGCTATTTTCATTGATTTAAATGATTTTCATCCGCGTAATTTGTGATTGTGCATTTATTGACAATTCTATAAGCCAACCCTACTTTTAAACGTTGTAATTTGTTGGATACTTGTAACAAAATAAAAAATAGTTCTTTCTTTCTTTCTTTAACATCGCTATTTTTAAGCTGTTTTGAGAACTACTTGCTTTTGTTGTTATGTTTGTCGTGAAGGGCTGTGCCAGATATTGAATGACAGCATTGTATTTCCTGATCTGCGATCAGAAAATACAAAAACGACTTAACAGGTCCTAATTAGAAGTTTTATGAAACTTATTAAGAGAAAAAATCGTATTTATTCTTTGTATACAAACTTAAATAAAAGTTACGGGATTCAAATTAGGTTGTTTATTTTTTTAGTTTTATATAAAGGCGTTTAACTCAACATTAGGACTTACAAAGTCCTAATTAGGAGTTCATTTCCCTTAATCGTGCTTTCAAAACTAATTATGTTTATTAGGAGTAAAAAATCCTAATAAGTTGTAACTGGAAGTAAATAAGTTGTAATAAAGTTGGGTTTTTTTATCAATCGTATTTACGAGTATCAAAGTCCTAGCTAGGCTTTTATAACTTCTCTTAAAGTGAAAATGGCCTTGTTATTTGTAGATTAAAGCTTTAATCAAATATTTATGATGCGTTTACGAGCAATAACGGGTTTGACCAACATAAACTATAACATGCCCGTAATATCTGAGATATTGGACTAGTATCATTGTACATGTATATGTATGGATGCTAAAGGAGACGACTATACAGGTTCTATTACGCTTATATCAACACTGATTTTCCATGAAAACTAATAAGTAGGAAAAAATCTTACATCAAGGACATATTGGCATATTCGTACATTCCCCATTTCCAAACACCGGTTCCTAGTCTGTTAGCTACAACTTTAGGTATATCATTCAGGTCTGTCCAATAGCCACTGCTTGGATATTGCTTCAGTGTCGTCTTGAGCCATGTCTGCCAAGAAAAATCAAGCACAAAATTTGATAAACACTATAGTTGTCACATTGGACGACTAATTACCTCACTAGGCGTGTTATGTTATAATTAGCTTGTTAACCAACCATTGTAGACGTCTTTCAGTTGCTTTTATTGCATTCAAGGTGCCTACTTGGAAAACTATGAATTATAGCTACAAACGCGGTGTTTGTTTTTAGTTAAACGCAGTTCTACTTTCTGTTGAAGCATAAAAAAAATCATTGTAACTGAACAGAATAGAATAAAAAATAGGAAGTTATAAATTTTAATTGATTGTCTCACCAACTGATCTTGTGATGTTATCCGGAGCAAAGAAGAATCCTGAGAATTACATTCCTGTGCAGCAGCCTTCCTTGTTACACTCTTTATTGTATTAATCAAGTAGCAGTTATTATTATATGGTACCCATCCGTTGTCACATCCAGTTGAACTGTCAGCGTGAGCAAGATAAACTGCATTTAAAAATAGAATGCAATTCCGTAAAGAAAAGTGAAATAGACGAACTGTAAAACAAGTACAGCCATTTAAAATTTCTGCTAGGGCAACACCAAATTTATGAAAATGGCAATAAACTGGAGTACAAGAGAAGCTGGAAGCAGATTTTTCTTTAACAATATTATTGATATCATCTTAGTAAATTTCTCAGAAACAAAATCGTAAATTTTGCAGATGTCGAATCATCATTCATTTCTGATATCCCTCATGGTGTCATTGTAAAATTGCATACGAAACTATTTAACAATGAAAACCCATGGTGTCTCTCTAACACTCGCTTTCTTCGTTCATTTAATCGCAACAAGGGCTATCAGTGATCACATATGTTGCCTGGTGATAGGCAATTGCATGTTACAGCTACTGTAAGGATGGAGACACACACGTTATTGACAGGCAAAAACGCTTTTTTATTCAATGGCCATAACTCAGCCAAAACTCATTCAACCCGAAAACCCGTTTAATATGCGCAAATACTTGACATGTAAAGTGTCATTCAAATTGCATAAGAAGCATTTGAAAAGTCCGGACAAAACTTTAAAAAATAAAAAATAAACCAAACATTAAAAGACCATAACTCTGACAAAATTCATTAGATTAATACTGATAAATTCTGCACTAGTTTTTACTGAGGAGTAGTCCGGACAAGTTTTGTGATGGACAGATGGACGGACGGACAAACAAACAGACAGACCACAAAAATGTGATCCCATTTTTAAGTTGTTGGTACTTTGAAGCACGTATCGGCTTCTATATAGCTGTCAACACAAAAATCATCATCAGGCCAAAACAATTTTTTATTTAAGAGCCATAACTCAGACAAAAACATTCAAGCGCAAAGGCCGTGTAATAATTATGAGCAAGTACTTGATCAACCGATCAACTCTGTAAAGTTTCAATGAATTGATAGAGGTAGATAAAAAGCCTCAAAGGGCCATAACTTTGACAAATTTCTTGCACCAAAAATGCCGAGGATATGCAAAACTAAACTAAGCACTGATTATTATTCCTGTAAAGTTAAGATAAAATTGCACTAGTAGTTTCTGAGGAGTATTGCCGACAAGCTTCTGTGTAGTTGGCAACACAAAATCATAAACATACCAAAACATCTTTTTTTCATTTAAGGGCCATAACTCAGACAAAGATTAATCAAGCGAAAAACTCGTGTAATATGCGCAAGTACATGTACCTGAGTTACTGATTTATGCAGTAAAGATTCATTGAAATTGCATTAGTGGTCCGGAAATCTGATCATTCCTTTAAAGTTTGGACGAAATTGTACCAGTAGTTTCTGAGGAGGAGTAATAATTTATGAGGAGGAATAACATATTTGCCATTTTGTTACTAAACCTTCTTCGTTTGTTCAATGATCGCAAATACACTGTTTTCTGTCGTCTGTCGTACTCTTTCCCCCTTACACATTCCAGCTTAAATCTAAAATCATTATTCTACTAAAATCGCGCAAATACGATGGCGCAGAGGTACCATGTATGTGTTTTTATTTATGTTACTAAGTCGTGGGCACGAGATACTATGTCGTGACCACGAGTTACTAGTCGCGGGCACGAAATAATTAAGTCGTGGGCAAGAGATACAATGTCGTGGCCACGAGTTACTAAGCCGTGCGCTCGTGATAACTAAGTCATGAGAACAATATACTATGTCGTAACCATGAGCTACTTAGTCGTGCGCTCAAGATAATTCAGCCGTGGGCACGAGATACTATGTCGTGACCACGAGTTTCTAAGTCGTGGGCACGAGTAACTAAGTCGTGGGCACGAGATACGATGTCGTGACCACGAGTTACTTAGTCGTGGGCACGAGTTACTAGGTCGTAGGCATGAGATAATTTAGTCGTTGGAACGAGATACCATGTTGGACCAGTAGTTACTAAGTCGTGTGCACGAGATAATTAAGTTGTGAGCACAATATACACTGTCTTAACCACAAGTAACTTAGTCGTGCACACGAGATAATTATGTTGTGGGCACGAAATACTTTGTCGTGGACACGAGTTACTAAGTCGTGGGCACGAGATGCTATGTCGTAGGCACGAGTTACTAAGTCGTGCGCACGAGATACTATGTCGTGGACACTAGTTACTTGAGAAAGAATAAGCCCTGGTATTTTATTTGGTAAGGGCATTGCCAATGGCCAGTAGATGATCTATATTGATGTTTGAGGTCATAAGAACGAATGTCAAGGAAAAACCTTTGACAATTCATGAAAAACCCTTTGTCGGGTTTGAAAAACTTGAAAAGGGAATAAGTTTTGGTTTTTTTAAACCTAGAATGGACATTCCCACTGGATCAGTAAAAGGGACATTTTAATTTAAATTTCGAGGTCTTTTGGGGTCACAAAAATCAGGGTCAAAATTTTAAAACGCTAATGGGGCAATCAGTGCCCAAATCAAAAAACCCTTGTATTTTTGGCCCGTAAACAGGGGGTGAAAAAGGGGGCATTTGAAATAATATATTTTGAAATCGGGCGGGTTTTAATTATCTCGTGCACACAATTTAAATTTTGTTCCCCACGACTTAGTAACTGGGTGATCAGGACTTTTAATTTATCTCGTGCGCCCCCAACTTTTTTTATTTTTTTTGCGCCCCCACTTGAAACTCGAAAAAACGACATAGTATACTGTGCCCATGACTTAATTATCTCGTGCCCACGACTTAAGAACTCGTGGCCACGACATAGTATCTCGTGCGCACCACTAAATTATCTCGTGCTCACAACTTAGTAACACGTGGTCACGACATAGTAACTTATGTGCACTACTTAATTATCTCGTGCCCACGACTTAATTATCTCGTGTGCACGACTTAGTAACTCGTGGCCACGACAAAGCATCTCGTTCGCACCACTTAATTATCTCGTGCGAATGAATTAGCAACTCGTAGCCACGATATAGTATCTCGTGCGCGCCACTAAATCATCTGGTGCCCCGACTAATTTTCTCGTGGCCACGACATAGTATCTCGTATGCACGAGATAAATAAAAACGCACAAATGTCACCTATGTGCCACCGTAAGCAAAGAGCATGTCTTGCGTTCTTGCTTTAAACCGTTATTTTACATAACATAAGCTGTTTTGGGGGAACATATATCATAGTTATTTTTTTTAGCATTATCTGCCTGGTGTTTACAGGTCTATCATTATCGCCACTAGCTTGCGAGTGGTAAATGTAAGGTCGGTTTCGATACTTAAAATGATATTACGTTAATTTTTTAGCTTGAATTGAATTAGCAGTATATTTAAAAAGATTGACTATTATAATGGGAACTGACCAATAATATTTTATTGGTAATGACAAATGATTAGAAAAAAATATAAAAACTGCCTAAAGTATAAAAAGACTGTCACACTGTTTTTATCAAGTGAGCGTTGTCAAGGAGTTATACATGTATAATTCTCGATGACCATTAAAACAATTTTAACGAGCTTTAAAGTTATTTCCAGTATATGCACCATTTTCACATAAATGGACATAATGTCAATTTAAGATACTACTAAGTAGGATTGAGGTACTTGATATCTTTTTTTATTTACAAACGAAATGATACGGGAATACGTGTGTAAACAGTTCGCTTATAAAGCTATTTTTAAAAGTCGCTAACTGTAATGATGGGAGTTAAATATATAATTACTAATATATTATATAACTTATATATAAAAGAATGAGATAGAAAAATCGCACGTAAAATCGGCACGCCGCAGCCGGGACTCGAACCAAGGGTCTCTGGATTGCCGGGCCAGTGTGCTAACCACTACACCACATCGACCATAACCTTTACATATAAGTGTTTGTGTGTGTGTGTGTGTGTGTGTGTGTGCGTGCGTGTGTGCGTGTGTGTGTGCGTGTGCGTGTGCGTGCGCGTGCGTGTGCGTGTGCCTTCAGATGAGGAAAAATATTTCAAACTTGATCAAAAAAGAACTGAGGTTTGAAGAAAAGTAAAAGATTCAAGCAATATTTTACAAATTATAAACGATAAATAACCGAATTTGCACCATATTTCTTCTGCCTTTTTGGTAAATGTGTAAATTACGCAATGTGTAAATTTCTTTCTGTGTTCGATTCGAAATATTTTTTTCAACACAGTAATACAATTTTTCATGACAATTAGCATGAATCATGAGACATACTGCTTTAATGAATTAAGTAATCACACGTGTCGCCTCATGATGGCCAATTTCATGTTGGGACAAAGTTTGTGACAGACGGACAGACAGACGGATAATGCACAACTAAACTTGGTACTGATCATTTCTATAAAGTTTGGATAAAATTGCACCAGTAGTTTATGAGGAGTAGTCCGGACAAGCTTTTGCGTATCTGGCAACACACAGAAAAAAACACCTTTTTATCAAAGGGCCATAACTCGACCAAAAATCATTCAACCGGAAAACCCGTGCAATATGCGCAAGAACTTGAGCTACAGATCAATCCTGTAAAGTTTCATTAAAAAAAATCAGCCATCATGTAACTCCGTTATGCAGATAAGTTATCTGTTATTTTTATCCCATGTATAAATTCAATGCTGCATATATCCATGTTCTAGTTCGATAAAATTGTCGCATATAAACGATAATAAACACCAATGTTCAAAATTTATCAAACAGTTTTGTCAGGCGATGCGTAAGATAACTGCATCGGTATTCAATTTTAAAGTATAATATTAGTATAGTGACACGTTTTCCTTTCCACCAATGAAACAATGTATGGCGGTATAATGAAGGTGTCTAAGCTTTGAGATGTTTGCTAAAAATATTGAACATCGTTCTTCGATGTACGACGCAAGAGCTAACTTAAGACATAGAACTCACGTATTTCAATATAAGCTAAAAAAATATTACAATTAACGTGCTGACTTTGCGATATAGATTCTCCAAACATTAAATTGGAACAGCACATCAACAAGTGATTTCTACATCAAACTACCATCAGTATAGATCCGG